CCCCCCCAGCGCGCGGAGAACCGCCCGCTGCCCCCCCCCCCTGCGGGCGGAGAACCGCTCGCTGGCCTCCCAGGGGGCAGATGACCGCCCGCTGACACCCCAGCGGGCGGAGACCCGCCCGCTGGCCCCCAGCGGGCGGAGAACCGCCCGCTAATTGTTGTAGGGGGTGGGGGCCAATCGTTGTAGGGGGGTCGGGGGTAATAGTTGTAGGGGGTCAGCGGGCGGAGAACCGCCCGCTGGCCGCCCGCTGGACCGCCCGCGACCCCCCCTACAACAATTGTAGGGGGCGCGATCCTCGCGAGGTGTAATTGCGGATGGGGGGGGGGGGGGGGGGCTACAAACTATTGACACCTATCAGCGGGCGGTCCGGGGCGGTTCTCCGCCCGCCGACCCCACTACAACTATTACCCCCGACCCCCCCTACAACTATTAGCCCCCGCCCCCTACAACTATTAGCGGGCGGTTCTCCGCCCGCTGGGGTCAGCAGGCGGCTCTCCGACGGCTGGGCGGGGTGATCGGGCGGCGAACCGCCCATCACCATCACCATCACACTCACCAATACGACTCACCACCACCATCACCATCACACGCACACTCACCAATACCACCCCACTGCACCACCCTCCCTCCCCCAACCCCAATCCGCCCCATCCCCCCTGCAGACGTTCCTGCCCCCGCCTCCCCCGTCTCCCCTCCCACCTGCTCCCCTTCTCCCCTGCCCACCCACCCCCGTCTCCACCCTTCCCCCCTCCCTCTTCTCCCCCCCCTTCTCGCCTCCCCCCTTCTCCCTTCCCCTGCGCCCTCCCTCCCTTCACCCCTCCCCCCTTCTCCCCTCCCCCCCTTCCCCCCTGCCCACCCCCCCCACCCGTCTCCTCCCATCCGCCTTCAGTCCGCCCCCCTCCCCCCTCCCCTCCCACCTTCCCCCCTCCCCCCTTCTTCCCTCCCCGCCCCCTTCTCCCCGTTTCCCCTCCCCTCCCCACCCCCTCCCCCCTTCTCCCCTCCCCACCTTCTCCCCTCCCCCCCGTCCTTCTCCCCCCACCCCTTCTCCCCTTTTCCACTGCCCAGCCCCCGCGTCGCCTCCCCGCCCCCCAGTCTGCCCACCCCCCCACCCCTTCCCTCCCACTTTTTCTGGTTCCCGCCCAGGCTCCAGACGATGGCGACGTGGCCCCGCCGTCGCCATCGCCCCAGTTTGCCGAGACGCACCTTGGCCTTCTCAGGAAGACGTCGCAGGCACCGATCAAGGCGGTCTTGACGAAGTTCACAGATGCGCTGAACGGCCCGCTGTCGGTCGAGTTCGCGAAGGCCGTCCATAAGATGGGATCGGCCTACGGCACGCTTCGCGTCGGGTCCATGTTCTCTGGCACCGACGTGCTGACTACCGGGCTGAATGAGCTGGCCCGGCACTTGGACGAGGTGCGCGGCGTGGGAATCCAGGTGGACCACGTGTTTTCGGCCGAGAAGAAGCCCGTCAAGAGGGCGTGGCTCCTTGGTCACGTGTGCCCGCAGTTCCTTTTCGAGCGCTGCAAAGACATGGCCGATCGTCGAGTTCTCGATTTGATCACTGGGAAGAAGGTCGCCCTGCCGCGCGTCGACGCGTTCTCCGCGGGTTTCCCCTGCAAGGACAAGTCGAAGAACAACGTGAACAGGGCCAGCCTTCGCAACTGCCTCAGGGAAGCGACGGGCGAGACGGGCAAGGGCTTCGAGGCCACATTCGCCCTCCTCCACCACCACCTCCTCCCTCCCTCCATTGGAGGCATCCTGGCGGTTCCCCTCGAGCCCAGCCCCCCCTCCCTCCTCCGCCCCCTCCTCCTCCCCCCCCTCCTCCCCCTCCTCCTCCTCCTCCCCCTCCTCTCCCTCCTCCCCCCTCCTCCTCCTCCTCCTCCTCCTCCTCCTCCTGCTCCCCCTCCCCCCCCCCCCTCCCCACTCCTCCTCCTCCTCCTCCTCCTCCTCCTCCTCCTCCTCCTCCCCCACCGCATCCCCCCTCCTCCTCCTCCTCCTCCTCCTCCTCCTCCTCCTCCTCCTCCTCCTTCCCCCCATCTCCCCATCCCCGCCCTCCCCCTCCTCTGCCCCCAGCGCCTCGCCCCCCTCCTCCTCCTCCTCCTCCTCCTCCTCCTCTCTCCTCCTCCTCCCCCTCCTCCTCCTCATCCCAACCTTCTCCTCCTCCTCCTCCTCCTCCTCCTCCTCCTCCTCCTCCCCCCCTCCCCCTCCTCCCCCTCCCCCTCCTCCTCCTCCTCCTCCTCCTCCTCTTCGCCTCCTCCTCCACCTCCTCCTTCTCCTCCGCCTCCAGGCGACCATGGGCTACATCAAGAAGCGGCGTCCGCAATTCGTGATCCTCGAGAACGTTGCCACTCTGGCAGATGGCGTTCGCGGCGATCGCGATGTTGACCTCATCAGGAACAGGCTGGAGGACGTGGGCTACTGGGTATTCTGGGACGTCGTCGAGGCTTCAGATTATGGTTCCCCGGCTACGCGGAGCCGACTCTACGCGGTTGCACTGTTGCATCGTGAGGGTACTTCCTCATCGGCGCTGGCGAGGGGTAGCAGCTTCTTGCGATCTTTGAAGATCGCCCCCCTGCACGTCGACGATGGCTTCATCATCAGCGATGCGAAGATTCGGGCCGCATTCATGGACCAAGTGGGCATCATTGGCTGCTCCGCGTGTGGTGACGACGCCCCAGAGCAGGAGACCACGTGGCAGGATGAGCACTACACGTTGTTCCAGGAGTTTCGCTTGCAGCACCCGATCCCGGAGGAGGCGCGCGCCCGCATCTCTAAGCAGGGGCTGAGCCGCCGCATGGTGGAGGCGGCGTATTTCTTCGATCAGGCGCGCCCGGGTTGCCCCCCCCCCCCCCCCCCCCCCCCCTTCCACTCCTGGAGGCTGCCTTGGAGCTGTGTAGGGGGTGGGGATCTCGGGTGCCTCCTGGGATCGCCCAGCGGCCCGCGTGGGTCGTCTAGACCAGAAAGGCCTCGGGCCAACTCAGTGCCTCGTGGTTCACTGTTGCATTGTTCATTGTCATTGTTATCCTCCTCCTCCTCCTCCTCCTCCTCCTACCCCTCGGCCCCCCTCTCCCCCTTCTCCTCCCTCTCTCTCCTCCTCCTCCCCCCGTCCGCACCCTCCCCCCCCCCCGCCTCCCCCGCTTCCCCCCCCCCCCCCCTCCCCCGCCCCTTCCTCCTCCTCCCCCTCCTCCTCCCCCTCCTCCACCCCCATCCCCCTCCCCTCCCCCCCCTCCTCCCCCCCCCCCCATCAATGCCCAGGCCCGTCCCGCCCCCCCTCCTCCTGCGTCAGCGTTGCGCCAGGTCTTCGAGCCAGAAGGGCCGCTGGTGAATGGGCGCGCGGTGGAGTTCCACGATGCAGCCCACAGCATGGGTCGCTTGCTCGGCCAGGAGGTGACCAAGCGGGACACCGACAAGCCGTTCAATAATCCTTGGCACGCAGCAGTCCCAACATTGATAGAGCACTCGAAGATCGTCATGCGCGCGATCACGCCGTCGGCCGCTGCAGCGTCATCCACTGCCAGGTGCTGGGGCAGTCGTGAGATGAGAGCCCTCGAAGGTTTCGAGCTAATGCAGATCATGGGTTTGCATATGTTGTCGTTTACTCGTGATAACCAAGTCCCTTATTCGGACTCGTTGCTGACGTCTCTGGCTGGCAACGCATTCAGCATCTTCGCGGCCACTCCAGTGGTGATGGCGGCCGTGCTCTTCCACGGCATCACGGACCCGGACGAGTCAATTCTCGAGGGGACTGGCGCGGCCGACGGTGCTACGTCCGCGGCCGCCGCTGGCGCCGCCGAGCCGTCTGCTTCCGGTCCCGGCGAGCTTGATGCTCCGGACTTTGGCCAGGTCCCCGACGGGGGGGCTTCCAATCGTGGGTGGGCAGAACCCCCAACAGTGACACGTCGATTGGTGAATTGTCCGTTCTCGGTTCTCGAGAGGGCGCCGTGGCCGTTATTTTCCAGGCTTGCGCCCGCCAGGTTTGGGCCTCAGGTTGTTTTCGCTAAACCACGTTTTACTCCGGGGGGTTCTGTCCATCCCCGATCCAAGGGCGGAGGGCCCCAGGGGCCGCCGAAGTAGATTCACGATGCAGACCTGGCTTCGTCGTCTGTGGGCATTGCGCATTGCTGGTCTGGCAGTGCGCTTGCGGGAGCTGCGGACGGCGCGATGTTTCGGCTTCCAGGGGCCGCCCAGCTGCCGCTGGCGAGGTGATCGGCGCGCGACCTCGTGGACTGTTCGCGCTGACCCCGATCTGAAAAGATTTGAAACAACGCATGTTCAGTGGGCCTGATGAGTGGGTTCTGGAGTACTGCGTGTTCGTATCAACGTTTTCTGACCTGGCGGTGCTCCTGTTGCTGCGCTCTTCTCGGGGCGGCCATTGGTGGCCTTGGTCATTGGGGGCCAGGCCATTGGCCACATGGGCGGATGTGGAGGGCAGGTAACTCATCAGAGGGGCGCTCGAATACTGACAGGGCCTTCGCCCCATCTGTTTCTGCGTCGGCAGTCCGACGGTCAGAGCGTTAATGATTTTAGCGTTATGAATATAGAATATGATTTAGGAACTTGTTTGAACTCAGACTCAAATCTAAAGCGTTACGTTCCTGAGTTCGGAGTGCCGATCTTACAGCCCCCCTGCCCCCCTCAGCTCTTTTATCAGTTGCATGTCACATTGCGCCTTGCGTTGCATTGCCTATTGCATATTGCATATGTCACATTGCATTGCTGCGTTGTCCATCGCCGCGCAAGCTCGCCCGCGTCACGTCGGGAGCGCGCCGCGGACCGCTCGGGGCTTGAGTGCACCAATTGCCAATTGCACAGTCCACCGCGCAAGGTCGGCACGCGGTCGGTAGCATGGTCTGCGATTGTCAACCCGCCCGCCCCCCCCCTCCAACCGCGCGCGTCGGAGCCGTTTGAGATTGCGAGGCTTTGTTGCTTTTTGAGTTCCGCACCTCGTCAGTGTGCTCTTTACGCTTCCGTGCTGTCAGCGGCCTGGAATATCTACTGCCATGGGCAAGCGCGGCAGGATGTCCGGGGGGGAGCGGCGTCTCGCAGATGACCTCGACAGGATGGACTCGGACCTCGAGAGCAGCGTTCCACCTTCCATTGCTCGTCACTCGCGCACCGGGATGGTCGGCGAGCACATGCGCCAGGGTGGGGACCCCGATGGCAGGACGTGCATCATCTGTGGCGTGTGCGACACGGACAACGACCCCGTCGACTTGGAGTTCGACGTTGCTCAGCCGATGAGTTGGCGCCGCCCCGCCACGCCGGACGGAAAGCAAGAAGGGCGTGGATGCTACTACTGCTTCGCAGTCTTCAGGGCCAGGTACAAGATCAAAGGCCAGAATTTCTCTTTCGCCAAGCTTCCCGAAGTGCTGAGATCAAACGGAGTCCAATTCGACAAGTTCATGGGCTACCGCAAGACGCTCGTCGCGTGGCTCAATCGAGAAAGGTTGACGCGGTGCACGCGTGGTCTGGGATCAGATTGACAATCGCGTTATCTCGTTTGTGACTGTCAAGGCCACCGAAGTGATTGAGCCAGGCGATCTTCTCTGGGACTATGAGCACTACGTGGCGGAAAAAGGCGACCCGGCGACCAACGGCCTCGGACGCGTTGTGACCTACGAGCACGGCAAGAAAGAAGTCAAGGTGCGAGGGGGGGCCGAAACTAATTTCGAGGGAGGATGGGGGAGGAGGTGCAGGAGAGGCGCATGAGGGGACAGGAGACGGAGGAGGAGCAGCAGGACGTTCACGTCAGCCTTTCGTCATTTCAGAGGCTCATGAAACCAGTATAAGCTGATTATTATCCCTCTCCTCCCTTGCTCCTCGCTCACTCCCCTCCCCTCAGTGCCCCCCTCTCCCCTCCAGCCCCTCCCTCAATCCACTTCTCCTTCCCTCCCCCCTCCCTCCATCCCGCCCTCCCACTTCTGGCCCCTGCTCACCTGTCCGTGCATGGCTCCGTCGAGACCTCTGGAGGCCCCCTCTTGCGTTCCCACGCGGCCCCTATTGGGGCCCTCGTGTCGTCGCCGACCTCCTTGTCGCTCAAGGTGCCCTCCGCGCCGATCCGTCGGGTCAGACGGAAGACTGGCCAGATCGTGGAGGACAGGAGGGAAGTCCACAATGGCGACGCCGACGCGGAGATGTACGACGGCCAGGGCGATGAGATGCTTCAGGAGTTGATGCAAATGATCGAGCTCCCTCGTGCCGCGGGCGAATACCAGCGCCCGGGCGTTTCTTCCGTTCCTGCTTCAAGTTCGACCGACCGTCTTGTGTGCATGCCGGCCGTCGACCCCACGGTGGCGGCTTCTGATTCGCGCGGCAACTTTGGAGGGCTGTCCATTGGCTTCGCACGCTCAGACCCTGGGCCCTCGCAGGTCGCTGCAAGGGCCGGCGCGAGGACTCAACCTGGTCGCAGACAGACAGCAGGCCGCGGGAAGAACACGCAGCAGGCGCCGGATGCGCCGCCTGCAAACCCACCTGGAGGCAGGACTGGGCCAAAGCGGCGAAACATATGCTCGACTGCAGAGTCGCTGTGCAAAGACTTCTTCGAGGCAGGGGCAACCGACGAACTGTTTTTCGGCAAGAGCTGGGAGCACCACGCCCGGTACTGCAAGCGCGTGTATGACGACATCGAGGCGCGGATCGCTTCGCTCAAGTCAGAGCCCGCCTCGGATGACCAGGCGTCTGAGCTCTCATCCTTGCAGATGCGGGTCAAGAAGGTATCCTCTTTGCGAGCTTTGTGCGGGCAAATGAACCTCACTGGCGTCGAAAGTGCGAAGTTCTCTGAGGTGTACGACAGCCAGATCGCGATTCTTGCGTTGGTACCCACTTGCGATATTGAGAGCTTCATGCCAGACCACCTGCGGCAGAGTCGATTCAACCAGCGCGTGTCGTCGACAGCTGATGCAGATGCCTTCTGGTCGCTCGTGGCGGTCGACTCGATCACGAAGACGGGGCGTTACCAGACCTCGGAGGCCGTCGAGAAGCAGCGCGCCTTCGTCACCGAGCGTCTCCTTTCGATTGCCAAGCAGCCCGACATTGAGACGACGCTGCAGGCATTCTGCCCCTCGCAGCCCGAGAAGTTCGACTGGCAGACCCGACTTCCGGACCTAGTCAGCGACCTTGTTGCAGTTGCAGCCGTTGCCCGCCACGACGAGCTCCGTTGTCACGGCGAAGCAGTGCGGGCGTACATCGAGATCATCTGCGTCAAGCAGGGCCCGTATTCTCGGACCGTGCTGCTCACCCCTGCTTTGGAGGTCACTGGGCTTGACCACTTGAAGGAGGCCGTCGACTCGATCGGCATGCCGACTTCCATGGCGGCGATCATCATCTCATGTAATCGAGGCAAGGTGCTTTTCAACAGCGCTTCGCTGACCCTTCGAAAGATGACGCGCTACACCAAACACTGCGACACGCTGACCAACACCTTCGAGAGCAGCCTGCTCGCGATCAGCGGCGGCGACTTCGCGGCCCTGCGCGGTTTCGCGACCACCATGTCTGAGATCTTCCTTGACGTGGGATCATGCCCTCGCGCAGCCGAACTCTTCGAGGCGACGTGCCGACAGCGGTCCAACGCGCTCCACGAGCAGTTGGTGCTCGCGACGAAGGCCGCATGGGCCCCGGTCGCTCGCAATGCCATGTTGGACAACAGAGCGGAACCTGAGAAGACCGAGGCATTGGATGGAGGGACACAGTACAGATCCACTTCGTTTGGCCTCGCCCCCCCTCCCCCCCCTCCACCACGTCGGAGGAGGAGGAGGAGGGGGATAATGAGGTGGAGGATGAGGAAGAGGAGGAGGATAAGGCGGGTGACATCTTCTCTCACGAGCGGTCGGAGGATGGGGAGGTTGGCCAAACGAACTGACCTGACGCGTTTTCCTCCCAGGCATGGGCGTACGATGCGTGGCAGCATCTCCGCGGTGTGTGGGATGCATATGCATCTTGCGAACATCTCAAGACGTGGTTCGTCAAGTTCGACCCGGGCTGCGACAAGTTCGAGCTCTTCGACAAGTGCGTCGCCTTCTGCAGGGATGTGCTGGACGCGTTCGATGTCCTGAGTTCGGATAGCATCGCTGCTGACTCTGCGGTCGCCCTGCGCGGGAAGATCGAATCGATTCGGGCGTTGGCAATGGAGGTCAAGTCCGAGGTGACAAGCATCGCCATGGACATCGACGACTTCATATCGGCGTCACCGATCTTCAACGATTCCGTCGTCGGGGGCGCGGTGATGTCCGCGATGGCTGACAAGGTTGGCCAATCGAACCTCTGTGTCGGTGTCACTAGTCACGGGCAACATTCGATGCCACGAGATGGTTTCTTTGGGGGGCGATGGGGGGGAGGGCTGGCTGGGAGCAAGGGGGGGGGGGGGAGAGGGGGAGGAGGAGGAACAGGATGAGGGACTGCGGAACTGCTAAGGGTGACATTTCGTGGCCCCGATTGCTCGCTCGCGCGGCTGACAGCCGATGCGGGCGTTCTGCCAAGAGGTGGAGACGAAGTTCAAGGCGGCAATCGAACCCATGTCGTCTGCGGTTGTCGACGTCAAGGTGGGCATGGGCATGGGTGCGACCGATCTGGCGCAGGTGTCTGGGTTTCGGATTGCCAGCGATGAACACATTGCAACGATGGTTGCCTTCTCGGACGAAGTAAAAGATGCCACCTTGAAGAGTGAGATCTCCTACCTCTGTGCCTGGTCAAGCCTGCGTCGCGCCGCGGCGTTGGCCATCACTTACGTCAATGCGGGGAATGTGGATCAGGGCAGCTTTGATGTGCTGGCACGTCTTCACTCCGAACTGGGTGCCCCCAAACAATTCATCGACGACGGCCGCGCGAAGGATTTGTTTGTACAGGCTCCTGGCCGGGTCGCCACGCCCTTCAAGCTCGAAGCCTTCAAGATGCCAGAGGCCGCCGAGTCCGTCGTCGAGGACTGCACGGCCGTTATCTTCGACTCGGGCCGCCGATTTCTGGCCGTCCTGAACTCGGAGACCACAGGGCTGACGCAGGAGATCGGCGAGGATTGGCGCGATCAGCGCGGCAGTCTTGCCACTAACAGCCGCTTGATTTCACAGATGTGCAAGAACCCCTCGATCAAGACGATGGGCAGCAGAGCGGCCCAACTGGCCGATATGGCCAAAATGCTGCGGCAGCTCAACGGGCGGCTGTCGTCATTGGGTGCTATCGTGCCCGAGGAGTCCTTGCGCGTCGCGACCCAGACCGCTACATGGGGCATCCACACGGTCGTCATGAGGAGCGCCCTGTTCGGCGTGCGCGTGGACATTCGCAGGCTCACGAAGGAAAAGCAGCCCGCTGCCGCCCAGAAGCTGCTGGACCTCCTTCGCGAGATGAAGGTTGACCCTGGTGCCGACGTGCTTGCTGCCTTGGTGGCTTTTGGCGGCACCTCGGCCGCCCTGCAGAAGACGCTGGCGGCCGGGGCAGGCGACGCGCCGCCGGCGGAGGCGCCTGCTGCGCCGGCCGCCGCTGCGCTGGAGCCGGCGCCCAACGCGGCTGAGGCAGCTGCTGCCGCTGCGCCGGAGCCCGTTGCCGCAGCCGCGGAGGCTCCTCCTCCTCCCCCTCTTCCCCCTCCTCCTCCTCCTCCTCCTCCTCCTCCTCCTCCACCCCCCTCCGCATCCTCCTTTGGAGTTCGAGGAGGGCCCTCCAGATGAGGGGGGGGCCCTCCTGAGGGGGGACAGCGAGCGGTTAAGGTTGCGTCCCCAAGTTCCTTCTCCTCCTCCTCCTCCCTCCTCCTCCTCCTCCCTCCTCCTCATCCCCCCCTCCTCCTCCCCCCCGCCCCCTCCGCCCCCCCCCCCCTCTCGAGGGCGAGGGGCCCTCCCCGAACTATCGTTGGCGACGGCGCCGACCGTCGTCGTGCCCGGGCGTCCTCCGGCAAGCCGCGCGCTCGCAGGGCCAGGCGCTCCGCCGCCGTGGACAAGGCCACAGCTTCTGCTACAACCCCATCCCTCTCTCCTTCTCTTCCTGCCCCTCCCCAACCCCCTACCCCCTCCTCCTCGGCGCCCCCCCCATCTCTCCTCGCGCTCCTGCTCCCTTCATCCTTTGGGGGGCCCCCCTCGTTATCAGAGCCCCCCCTCTCCCTCGGAGATCTGGCGATGAGATGCGCGCGGGGGGGCGGGGGGGGTCCTCGAGGGGCCCGCCGACCCGCAGCAGGCCCCGCCGCCGGGCTTCGAGGGCGCTGAGCTGAAGAAGCCCACGGCGAAGACCAAGGCGAAGACCAAGCGGAAGGCGAAGAAGCCGACCGCGAAGGCTGCCGAGGAGGCGGGGGATGAGGCCGCCGACGCTGCTGCATCGGACTCTGGCAGCAGTTCCAGCGACAGCTCCGACTCGGACTAGCCACCCCCGCTCTAGGGCCAGACTCTTGACCACCCCCGTTATTCTGGGGCCATCCCAGGGTTGGCGAAGGAGAGATGTAGAGGGCGGTGGGGACTGGAGCACGCTTCGCGCTTTTACCTTTTAGTTTTCAGTTTCGCGGCCCTGAGCCGCAGGCCCCTGACAGGCCGTCGTGCGCGGCCTGGGGCTTGAGCGTCCCGCACCGCCTTCAACCCACGGGGCGCTGCCTTTAGATGGGCCTCCCCCCCCGCCTCGCCCTCCTCCCGGTGCCTCTCCTCCTCCTCCTCCTCCTCCTCCTCCTCCTCCCCCTCCTCCCCTTCCTCTTCCTCCTCCTCCTCCTCCTCCTCCTCCTCCATCTCCTCCTCCTCCTCCCCCTCCTCCTCCTCCTCCTCCTCCTCCTCCTCCTCCTCCTCCTGCTCCTCCTCCCATGCCACCACCTCCTCCTCCTCCTCCTCCTCCTCCTCCTTCTCCTAGCCCTGGCATGCTCGGATGAATTTTGAATTTGAAAATTTGTCTGGCGGCTCGCCGTGCGCGAGACCCCAGGCCTCCAGGGGTGATTGCATGCGTCTTGCGATCGAGATGGCGCAGGCGCGCGGGCTGCCTGCGGGTGCCATCGACTGCGCTCGAATGCGCGAGTCGGTCATCGCCCTCCCGACCGCCCTCTCGCCATCAGTCGCCGCCGCGTCATCCATCTCCACGCTCTGCCGCCGCCGTCGCCGCACCGCCCCCGTCCAGTTCCCCCCCCCCCCCCTGGCAGTCGCCATCGCAGGGGCAGGGGCAGGGGCGGGGCCAGGGGCAGGAGGAGGAGGAGGATGAGGATCAGCTCCCGACATCACCCCTCCGCCACATCGGTCCTTCTCCTCCTCCCTCCCCCCCCTCCTCCCCCCCCCTCCTCCTCCTCCTCCTCCTTCTCCCCCCCCTCCGCATCCCCCTCCTCCTCCTCCTCCTCCTCCCCCCCCCCTATGCCACCGTTGTCTCACAGAAGTTCGGGGGGCGCGCCGAAGCCCCCCCCCCTGCCCCTCCACCGCCATTGCAGCCCCGTCCAGAGCCTCTACGGTTCGAGCTTGATTCGACGCGTCGCCCGACGCCCAGCCCGACGCCCATATCGCCGCCCGACGCCCAGATGCCTAAGGTGTTCACGGAGCTCAGGAAGTGGGACGCGCACTACGCGACGCAGGAGGTCGACGGCCAATGGTTGCGTCGGCTCGCGGGCTTGAACATCGGCGCGCGGGTCGTCGAGGAGACGCGGTGTTGGGCCCCTCCAGTCACGCCGCCCGAGGGGCGCCCCAAGACGTTCGAGGAGCTGCGGTCGTACCCCGCGAGCTACGTGGAGTCCTCGCCCGAGGAGCGGGGAGGGACAGATACCCCCCACCCCACTCCCCCCCCGGCGGAGGAGGAGGAATGAGGAGGAGGAGGAGGAGGAGGAGGAGGAGGAGGATGAGGAGGGGGAGCAGGAGGAGGAGGAGCTGGAGGAGGAGGGGGCGGGGGAGGAGGAGGAGGAGGAGGAGGAGGGGGTATGCCGCTACTCCTACGCCAGTCTGGTTGCCGTGGGCCTCCTAGAGTTTCCTCCTTGCCTCGGCTGAATGCAGTCTGGGAGACGCCCAGGGAGTAGCGGTATCTGTGCCTTTTCGCAACCCCTCCCCCCACGAGGGGAACTGGGCGGCGCTGCTCGTCGGGATCAAGTGGTGCGACGACGTCGTGGAGGAGACGTGGGCTTGGTCGCCGCCGAGTGTACCAGCTTTGGTGATTCGGGCCAGGAGCCGCGTAATCAACACCACCAGGAGGAAGGAGGAGGAGGAGGGGGGCGGATGGGGGAGGAGGAGGAGGAGGAGGAGGAGGAGGAGGAGGAGGATGAGGAGGGGGAGGGGAGGAGGTGGGCTTTTCCTTATTCCTAGGTGAAGGGAGCTGGCCGGGGCCCGCCGCCAACCGCCAGGCCGAGCACCGCGCCCGAGACGACCTCGGGCGAGGGGCGCTGGCGACGGCAAGGGCGGCAAGGGCGCGGGCGGCGGCGCGAGCGCGGGCGGCAAGAGCACGGGCAAGGGCGCGGGCAAGCGCAAGGCCAAGGTCAAGAGCAAGGCCAAGGGCCCCCTCCAGCGCAGGCGCCGCTGAGGCATCGTCGCAGGCGCGGGGGGGGGGGGGGGGGATATCAGAAGGAGTTGGCCTTCCAAGGGTTCACGCACGTCCAATGGCTTGCAGTATTACCATTACCATCAACACCATCATCACCATCAGCATCGTCATCATCAACACCATCAGCATCATCATGGTCACCACCATCACCATGATAAGCACCATCATCATCATCATCACCATCAGCAGCCGGAACAGGCCAAAGCGACCTCTCGGAAGCCTGGAAGGCTAGCGAGAAGTCCCGCGGTCTTCTAAGAAGGCCTGCTTCTTCTCATTTCCCCCTCCCCCCCTTCGGGCCTGCCCAGACAGCTGTCCGCCGCGGAGGCTCGGATGCTGCGGCTCCCCTTGCCTCTGTCCGCGTGGCCACTCTCTGCGGCCCCCGTCCACTTGACGGCGTCGTCGACGGCGGCGCTGTCGACTCGTTGGCAGCGGCGGCAGTGAGCATGAGAAGTAGGATAAGGATCATGATCTCCTCCGCCCCCCCCCCCCCCCTCGCCTCTACGTCACCCCCATCCCCCCCCCCCCCGCCCCCCTGCCCCCGCCCCTCCTCCTCCTCCCCCCCCTCCTCATCCCCCCACTTTCTCCCCCTCCTCCTCCTCCTCCTCCTTCCATCCACCCTCCTCCGCCTCCTCCTCCTCCTCCACCTCCATCCTCCTCCTCCTCATTCACCTCCCTCTTCCTCCCTCCCCCTCCTCCTCCTCCTCCTCCTCCTCCTCCTCCTCTTCTTCCTCCTCCTCCTCCTCCACCCTCCTCCTCCTCAATCCTCCTTCCCCCGTCCACTTTGACGGCGTCGTCGACGGCGGTGCTGTCGATTCGTCGGCAGCGGCGGCAGCGGCCATTCGGTTCCACCCTGATGCGATCAAACTGTCTCGTACCTCCCTCTCCCTCCATCCCCCTCCTCCTCCTCTCCTCCTCCTCCTTCTCCTCCTCCTCCTCCTCCTCCTCATCCACCCTCCTCCTCCTCCACCCTCCTCCTCCTCGATCCTCCTCTCTGCCTTCTAGCCGCGCCGTGGTAACAGCGGCGCGTTTTCGACGTTTGGGGTAATACATACATCCATGCATACATACATACATACACACATACATACATGCATGTATACATACATACATACATACATGCTTGCATGTATGCATGCATACACATACACATACACATACACATACACATACACATACACCTCCTCTCTGCCTTCTAGCCGCGCCGTGGTAACAGCGGCGCGTTTTCGACGTTTGGGGTAACAGCGGTAATAGAGGCCAACCGCGCCGAGGGGGTTTTGACCCTCCTCCGAAGGGCTTCACTGTGTAACAGGTCCCCTGCTACCAAAATATTCATCATCGATATTGCAATTTACCCTCCCACCAAGCTCACTCTTCATAGGCCCCATACAATGGTTCGTTCTCATTGAGGGGCGGGCTCCGTTGGAAGACAAACGTTTGAACATCTGGAACTCTGCTAGAACACCATTCGTAGGACTTCAGCGCCGCGAATCACGTGATTGTTGCTTTAGACGTTCCGGGACCGTGCCACAACAGCAACGCGAATCAACGTGATTGTTGTGCTCTGACAGTCCGACATCGTGCCAAAACGACATTCCTGAAACATTAACCGTGAACATCCTTGAAACTGCTGCCTGCAATCTCTTAAAAGACATGTTCGCGGCGCTGAGGCGAGAGCCACATTTGGAAAACAAGCCGCTCTCCATCCGCGAAGGTCTGGCAAACTGTTTAACGAATGTGCGCGGCGTCAAGGCGAGAGACACATTTTGAAAACGGACCGCGCTCCATCTGTGTCGTAAAACTCGTGCAAGGCTTTGAAAACGAGCATGCGCGGCGCTGGAGCGAGAGCTACATTTTGAAAACGGACCGCCCTCCATCCGTGAAGCTCTTCCAATTTGCTGAGACGAGTGCGTGCGACGCTGAGGCGAAAACCACATTTCAAAAACCACCTGCCCTCCATCCGTGCACCTGTTGCAAATTTCAAGCTGCAGGATCGTAAATGGTTAGGACCTCTCACGCGAAACGCCCGGCCCGCCATTTCGACTTGCTTCGGGGTGCGACAGGGAGGAGTTCTTCATACGGGCGAGGGATGGAGGACGAGTGCGGAGAACATCAGCGTGGAGCTCCCCCAGGCTTGAGCAGCCTCCTGAAGACTTGCGCTGAGGACCGAACGCTACTCGGGCGATACATCATGTACTTCAGGAGCCAGTTGGGCTCCAGGACCAGTCTAACCCCCTATCTCGCGTCGAAGGTGGGTTGGCGCGGCCCAGGCAATATCGGCACCCGCAACACCAACACCGTCAGCCGTGATCCATCTTGGCATTGAAGAGGCCGAGGCGGGCTGCCTCGCCAGGTGCGTCGTCTATGTCACTAACCTCGATCAGGCCTTGGATGACGGTGCCCTACTCGGCCACCAAGGCCGCAGTGCACATGAGTGGGTTCGTGTCGGCAGGTGCAGTATCCACGTGCTCCGCTGAGCCGCGGACGCAGCCTAGGAGCTGGAACTTATCCACGCTAGCCTGCCATATATCTATCTGGAAGACGCTAGCCCTGCTCGACGACGAAGAGGATGAGGCGGCCGTCGAGGAGCAGGACGAGGAGGATGTCCACAGGAGTCCACAGGTCCAGAGTCCACAGGAGTCCACAGGAGTCCACAGGTCCACACGCCCAGTTCCCCGAGGCGAGTCCAATCGTTGCGACCAGGGAATCAATGGCCGAGCCAACCGATTGATGGTATCAACCCTGTATTAACGGCAGCCCGCTCAGGAGCCCACTTCGCGGAGCTCCTGCTTGAGAGGGTCGCCCCTGCCGGCAGCACTTCATTCGTAGACCATTCCGTCCTTGGTTATGTCTGCCATGGCCTTCACATTGAATCT